CTACCACTCTACACTATTCACTACTATCCCAACACTTTGGACAAATAAACTATTAGCCTTGAGAAATAATTATAAAATAATTACCGTTTCTGCTACATCTTATATTAGAATGCTTTTTAATTGGAAATTGTATTTAATAAGGTTTTATTTTATCATGCTGTTCATTCACCTCTGCATCGTTCTCCATGAAGCTGAGGTCCTTGCAGCACACGCTGCAACTCGGAAATGTAGAAGTACCACAAAAGCTGCCTTAGGCTGCCTGTGGTCAGTCTCGCTGCTTCCTGCCATGAAGCCATTTATTCCTTTGTGGTGACATTTTCCTGACTTGTAAGGAGCTGTGTTAGCTTGTGAAGTCAGCAGAAAACCTGTGGGAGGAGGTCTGGATTATTTTTTTCTGCTTGTGTAACCACAGGTGAATAGCAGACCTGTGACAGGGCCTGCCTAAATATTAATTGCTTCCTGAAGGAAGGAACAAGTCCTAAAAGGCTGAAAGCAGCACTGCATTACAGTTACCTTGTTTCTGCAGGTATTAATCTGACTTTTAAAGTTTGTTCCTCACTGTTGCTTCTCTCCATAGGCATGTGGACGAGTTCAGTCCTCGTGCTGTATACACCAGTGGAAAAGCCTCCAGTGCTGCTGGTCTAACAGCAGCTGTTGTAAAAGATGAAGAGTCTCACGAATTTGTCATTGAAGCTGGAGCACTGATGCTGGCGGATAATGTGAGTCCAGGAACTAAAGAGGTTCCTGCGTCCCTGGAATGGTTTTGATTAATGACAAAGAGCCCCAAATTGTCTTAATGATGCTTTTTTTCCAAAAGTGATTGAATTTGGGAGACTTATTATTTTTTTTTATTCTTCCGCTGCAGGGGGTTTGTTGCATTGATGAATTTGACAAAATGGACGTGCGGGATCAAGTAGCCATTCATGAAGCAATGGAGCAGCAGACTATATCCATTACTAAAGCAGGAGTAAAGGTAGCTTGCACAATTCCTCTCGTTATAGTCTGTACAATCATCGCCTGACTGTTTGTTACATATACTGATCTAGTGTCATCTGTCAGATTTTTGTGTCAGCTCTGCAGCTGCCTCACCATGGCAGGACAGAGATCACTTGCCTTCAAAGTTTTTGTGCCACATAAAGATCGTAAAAGACCAGAAATGATCTTTTTTCCTTACTGAAAGGAAAAAAGAGATAGTAGTGGACAAGAAACAGAAAATGGGAAAATCATAACTTTGAAGTAACCCCAAAAGAGGATATAGATTTGTGCGTCTTTGTAGAAGTAAGGTGTGTATTTGCACTGTTAAAAACAGAGTGTTGTGAAAAGCAGCTTTAAGGGCTTGTTTCAGTATTGTTGGCAAGAGTGTGACAATGATAAAATACTGATTCATGAAACTGTGTCTTGGGGCAGAGACCTGGTTAGAAGAGTTTGGGCTCTTTTGAGAAGTGGTTGTTATAATACTTCCACTGAAACGCCATCTAAAAGATGTTATGTTGACCCATTCAAATTGTAATGGGTTGGTTTAGCAAGTGGTCACAGATATCATTCTTCTTTTTTAACATTTTTTTTTTTATTTTCCTCATTGTCAGGCTACCCTGAATGCCAGGACCTCCATTTTGGCTGCAGCAAACCCAGTTGGCGGGCGCTATGACAGATCCAAGTCACTGAAACAGAATATAAACCTGTCAGCTCCTATCATGTCTCGCTTTGATCTCTTCTTCATCCTTGTGGATGAATGTAATGAGGTAATTTTAAGGAACTGTAGAATAATTTCTGTCAGAAAAGACCTCTGAAGGCCTCTAGACTAACCTCACGCTCAAAGCAGATCATTGACAGCAGGTTGCCAAGACCTTGACCTGGTGAGTTTTCACTGTCTCCGAGGATGGAGATTCTGCAGTCTCTCCAGGCCCCTACTGCAATATTTGACAACTCTCATGTATTTAAAAAATAATAATAACTTTTATATCTAAACAGAATTTCTCATGGCTCGGTTTGTGTCGGTTGCCTCTTGTTAATCTGTACTTCTAAGAACAATCTGGCTCCGTCACATCTATACTCACCAATGAAGCAGTTGCTTTCTTTTCAAGCTGAACAGACCCAGCTCTTTCAGCCTCTCCTCATACATCATGTGCTCCTGCCCTCTTGACCATCTTGGTGGCCTTTTGCAATTTTAGGTGAAGCTGATCTCATGAGAGTGTCTTGTTTCTGCTTTTCTTCTCTGTCTGTGAAGTTAAAAGCTGGCAGTACAAATTTGAACATGCTCTGCTGAATACAAGGATACTGCCTTTTCATCTTGTAGTGATTTGACCTGCAAACTTAACACCATTAGTCATTTTTACAAATCGCTGGTCACTAAGGCTAAGACTGCTACCACCTGTCTATGTGGCATTTGCCTTGGGAATGCATGAGATACAGAGATTAATGTTGGTTCAGCGCTATTCTCTCCACTGTTTTGCTCAGGGCAATTATCTAATTGAGAAGGGGCTGATGAAAGAGACAGAGTACGCTGAAAAGGAAGCAAGCAGTTCCCACGCTGCAAAGTGCTGCTTTCTGCCTGTTCTATGGCTGACTTGTAACCCAGGAGAGTTCCAAGAGGTTATAAATCCTAAAACTGCCTTTTATCCCTTCTTTGCTGTATTTCCTTGTATTACAAACCTCCTGGGCATTCTCCTGGATCTTCTGGCAGAGAGCCTGGTTTCTGGAAAGACTAGCTCTATCATGAGGAGTGCAAGTGAGGGTGGGGAATGGGAAGGAAGAACACAGCTGTTGTTTTGATATTTGGCTGACATTGTGAAAGTGATCTGACAGAGCAATGATATCCCAGGTTACAGATTACGCCATTGCCAGACGCATAGTGGATCTGCATTCCAGAGTAGAAGAATCTGTTGATCGTGTCTATTCATTAGATGATATCAGAAGGTATCTGCTGTTTGCAAGACAGTTTAAACCGAAGGTAATTCTACTTTCCTGTATAGGTTGTTCTGTATGAGGGAGGTCCAAGGGAATAGTCACTCTGTAGCATGCTTTTTTCTGGCAAGTGCAAAGACACTTAACGTAGTGTTCTCTCAAGAAAGGAAACGTAAACTCAGTTATTTTCTAGAAACTTAGCATACTTCGGAGCCATGTGCTCTTTTTTTTTTTTTTGAACTCCAGAAACCCTGCCAGCCCAGCTGAGACTGTTATAATCAGTAGTCTTAACTGTTTTGGTGGCAGCTCTTAACCTCTGTCTAGAAGGATTGAGGGGTCATTTCATAGCTTTCTTGTACCTCAGAGGCATTTTTTTTCCACATGGCTGCTGCAGAGATTTTTGTATTTTATTGACTGCTTGCTTAATCAAACAGTTTGTTTGTCTTTATTTTAAAAGGGTATTGTTCCTTTATAGTTCTTTGCTTTCTTTGTGGTAAAATACAGAACCTGGGAAACTACTCCAAGTACAAATTTTTGTGGTCTATCCAAATAGCAGCTTGGATGGGTTGTGTGTTAGATTTTTCAGAAGTTCTTCTAATGTAGTTCTGCTCAAATGGAAGGAGAGGACACCCTCCCTTACAGACAGTGTTTTGAAACATCCCATTTCATTTCCATGCGGTGGGGAGTTTGTTTTCTGACTGGATCTGTGTATGTGCAGATAGACTCAGGCTAAAAAGCATGTACACAAAGCTGTAGTCAGTGTTAGTATATTGAGTGTATGCTTGTGTATGTTTGCATGCAGAACGAAAGGTAAATAAACATAGAACAATCTTGTAGAGACAGACATGAATTATGCCCAGAGGAAAGTCAGTAGAACAGAAAAATAGAAATTATCGAAAATCTGCTGTAAAATAATTAATGCATCAGTGTACTTATTGTAATATCATTGCTGTAATCATTATTACAGTGTAATTTTAACGTAATATGATTGTCATATTTATGTGTAGTATGTGTGTAGCATAGAATATTTCAGAGGAGAGCAGTAGCTAGTACAGAAAAGTTTGGGAACTGCCAATCTGATGCAAGGCAAATAAACTTGAATACTTTTAAGATGGCGAACTATCATACTGTCTTATGTCACAAAGATATCTAAGGAGTCTGAGGACTTTATAGTGGAGCAGTATAAACGACTACGGCAGCGTGATGGCTCTGGAGTGACAAAGTCGTCCTGGAGAATCACAGTGCGACAGTTGGAAAGCATGATTCGGCTGTCTGAAGCTATGGCCCGTATGCACTGCTGTGATGAGGTATCAGGTTTTTGATGAAAGTTTGTATAAATGTTTATATAAATGCTATGGGATTTCTGGCTTTGCTATTTGACTATGATATGTACATATTTAAATCCTGTGGGTGAGGAGGAGAGCTTGGATCATGTTTTCACTTGTGATGTGGTCATACTTGGTCTGAATTTGTATGTCAGAAATAATGTAATTAAGGTATGTCTTGTAAAACCGAGATCAGCTGGTCCAAAATGAGAACATGCATGTTTTTGCATTACAGTTGTATCAGCACTCTCAGCCTGTTGCCCTTCAAATCATGACAAATAAGAAGAACAGTCATCTATTAGTATCAGCCAGGGCTGTTGGTAGTGTGTCTCTTAATCTTGCGTAGTTTGTAATCTCTCGCAGCTCTCTTCCATCTGCAGTCTAAAAAGCCACAGTTCGTCATAGTATCTGAACCTCCCTAGGAGTACCTGTATTTGTGATCTGAGCTCCTTCTCACATCAACCAATGTTGAAATGTATATTGTATTATGGCTATTAACTGTAGTACAACTACTGTCCGTCTAGTCCCTGCTTTAAAACTCAGCAGGCCTTTTGAAAGGTTGATTAGGGGTTATCTGACACATGCAGTGATAGAAACTTGCTCACTGGTTGTGTAAGAAGGACACACATGGAGTTCTTTTTAATTAAAATCAGCTTATAAAGAAACAGATAGCTTTTAGTTATAGCTCAGCTAGAGATGATTTTTCCGGTTTTTGCTTTTCAGTTCCAGAGGAGAGTCTCATTAATTACATCAGGGTTTTTTTTTCATATTGTTTCTGTTCAGACCCATTTCTTTCATGTTTCTTGCTCCGCTGATCTTTCTTCAAAGTGTTCTTGGCTTAAGTAAAAATTTTATCGACTCCACATGATCACTAAAGCCTGAAAGATTCATCAGGCTGCTTATTCCCTCTATAACCTTGTGTGGACTCAGAGTACTTGTAGTGGGATATAATTTGACTTGCAGAGTCTTTACTGCTTAGGATTGATCAGGTGAGATGGGTAGAAAGACCCTTTGTCAGAGTCAGGTGAGTTTCTGGAGCTATTGGGGAAGAAAAAAAGCTTTTAACACTAGAAGAGCCACCATGCCTATTTAATACATGTTTTTTCAAATCTTCCCCAGGTTCATCCAAAACATGTAAAGGAAGCTTTCAGGCTTTTAAATAAGTCCATCATTAGAGTTGAGACACCTGACATCAATTTAGACCAAGATGATGAACAGCAAATGGAGGATCAAGAGGACCAGGATGGAGTCAATGGTAAATTACTTGTGTGTGGAGAATTTTTTCAAAGGGGAACGTACTTCCAGCCTTTACAGCTTACCTTGTTTGAGTATATGCTTCTCTTCAGTTTCTCACCTATTTCTCATCTCATAAAGTCTGTGAATCTTGACTTCTGTTCTTAACTCTCTTACTTCTTCAGTCTCCTTGCGGGTCCACTCACCTGGTTGCTCAAATACAACACTTTTCAGTGGCTCAGTGTATTAAAGAGGTAACAGATGTTACAGATTTAAACCTGGGCATGTGTCCAAACAGGTGAGGTAGAAGCTCCAGCTGGGGTCAATGGCCCTGTGAATGGGATCAATGGCCATTCTGAGGACATGAACAAGGATGCTGCACCCAAAGCTTCTCTTAGACTGGGCTTCTCTGAGTATCGACGAATTTCTAATCTCCTGGTGCTGCACCTCAGGAAAGCAGAGGAAGGTAAGAATTTATTTTTTAAAAAGACAGACAGCAGAACCTGAGTTCAGGGAGCAACTGTTGCTACATCTCATGCTGTTGCACTTGGGATTTTCACTCCTGCTGAGGCACCAAACTTGTTAGGTCAGGTGTGAACCTCTACACATGTGGCTATACTACATCTGATGATATAAATATGACTTCTTGGACTTTCTAGTTCTGGTATCTTAGTTATTTGTCAAAACCCAGTAAGTCAAGGACCATGTCAGCAGAGCAGATCCAGAAAAGGATTTGTAGCATGTGCTGGTTTAACGTAGCTGGAAGAGTCAGCAGCAATGAAAACTGTAGCAAGAGCTTTAATGTTTGCCAGAAAACACAGCCTAAAGTATATACTTAACCAGTATGTGCCAGATGACCGCATCATTTCTTGGGGAGATGAAATATTTCCGTTGCAACGAGGCTACTTCTGTAATTAAATGCAGCAGTTGTCTCGTAGCATATACCAGTGCTATGAAGTTTTTGAAAGGGTATGGAGACTACAATATCTGTTCAAAATGCTGAGTACGTGTAGAAGATGACTTTGGCTTTATGTGACAATGATTTTCTTTTGCTGAGAGCAAAGAGGACAACTGTATGAGTCCTTACAACTGCTTTTTCTTGAAGCTGAAGACTGATGTGATTGCTACGCTGCTTGTTTAATTTGTAAGCCACTTGAATGCATAGAACTGAAAGCTTCAAATCTCAATCTAAATATCTCCAGTGAAACTGTGATACAACAGCCTCCTGTAGAAAACATGATGATTTAAGAAACAGAAGAAATCTGATGTTTCTTAAACATCTTAAAAAGCATGTCTTTCTTCAGCATTGTAAATGTTAACATATAAATGCTTTTCTCTTACGGTTGAATGGTATCTTGCTGCTGTTGTGTTTATGCAAATTATTTTCTTTGCAGAAGAGGACGATTCATCATTAAAGAAGAGTGAACTTATTAATTGGTATCTAAAAGAAATTGAATCTGAAATAGAATCTGAAGAAGAATTAATAAATAAAAAGAAGATCATAGAGAGAGTCATTCACCGACTTACACATTATGTATGTATAGAGATGCATGGATAGTGAAAAAGGGTGTTAACTTGCATAGTGCAATGATTCATTTTTTACAGAATACATTCCTAATTTGAGAAATATGTTTTGTGCTTCCATGTTCTTGACTGATGCAGTATAAATGCCTTCTTTGTTTTATACCCGTTAAAAATAATTATAGAGAAAACACTGAAATAAATTTGAGATGTGTATAAGTAAAAGTTCAAAGTGCCATATTATGTCCCTATAGAAGTGTAAGTGATATTTTTCTGTATTTCTGTAGTGTTAGTTATACATTAGGATACGGAAATACAAACAACACCTTATTCAATGGATGGCTTTAAGTCATGGGTGCGCTAGGGCAGTTTGGAGGAAGAAGTATGAAAATATAAAATACTTCTCACTTTTAAAGGTACAAAGCCACTAGATTGAAGTGTTCCCAGAAAGCATACAACATGTAAGAGATTTCCACTGAACATAATTGTTAAGATTAAGAACCTGCTAAAGAGGGAGTTCACAATTAAGAGGGTTAAATAATTCATCAATAAGAGATGCTACCAGTATAAAAAGGAGATGCCTTTCAAAAAGTACAAACAAACCTTTCTGTTCTTGTTTGAATACAAATGTTTGTCTGTTGCAGGACCACATACTGATAGAACTGTCCCAGTCAGGACTGAGAGGATCCAGAGAAGAGGAGACTTTTGATGAAGATCCATACCTGGTTGTCAACCCAAACTATCTGCTGGAAGACTAAGGGCTGAGAACTGGATTGTAGAGCTGACTAGTTACATGTTGAAAAATGCGTTCTATCCTTGCAAGAGTTGCTGTATAGCTAACATCTTCAATTCCTACGAATGCTTTACTGGGGAATGTGCCGATGTGCGGTTAGTAATATACATTGAGCGTACCTGGAAAGTTTTGAAAGAAATGACACACATATATATGAGTTTTGTTATTAATTCTGGGTTTCAATGACATCATCCAGATGCAGAGGAGAATCATTCAATAGCTCTTTTCAGCATCAAACTGTGTAGATGCTTCTGTTTTAAATGAGAGGAATTTCACATTGTTCTTCTATTGTATTTAGTAGAATTTTTATGCTATAGATTTTTACTGTTTTTCTTATTAACATAAATAAAAGATCATTAAATGTCTGGAGATGTCTGGGGGTGGATTTGGTGTCACTCATATGTGGGATTGCTATTTTCTATGCCTATGCTTTGAGGCTGAAAAAGTAGTGATCTAAATGTTTAATGTCTTAAGAAAGATTAAATTTCCTGCATGACACATGCTGCTTTTTAACTTCCAGTAATGGATAATGAGAAACTCTGATTGCTTCTCTTTCTTTTTAGATGGACTAAAGATGTGTATGCTCCTGTTGCATATGTAAAATAGAAAACTGAAAATAGCCAAGCCCAAAGCGAGGCTTTAAGTCAGGAGGTCAGAAACCCCCATCTTGATGAATGTCTTGACTTGTAAGTGAATGGAAAACTGCCATCATTTATGGGGGATTTTTAAGACTATATTTGTAAACTTGTTTCTAGATTTTTCTATAAGAAAATTTTACTTAAATTTCTGTCGTTCTCAATTATTTGCTGTATGCTATGGGATTATTAAATAATCTATTAAGAATTAAAGATACATGAATATTTGTCTTGTCAACGTGATACCAGCACCTAAGAAACATTCGTAATAGCATGAAAGAGACCAAAGCTATATATTTTAAGTATAGATAGTGTGAAACAACCGTTTCTGAAGCAGGTCCAGAAATGGAGCTGGTTTGTAAGACAGCCGTCTTTTTCCTCCCAGCTTTGGAGAGAGATGCTGTGGTCTAACTAAGCATATATCATTAAAGGTAGGTTATATTTAAGGAATGGAAGGCATCATAAATATTTGTCACCAACAATGCTACCATATCACTGGGCACTAACTCTCACTGCAGTAACTTCTCTCCACTAATTTCTTTCATAAACTACATTTTGGCAAATGCTACATTTCATTAAAAATTGCCACCTACCTGCAGCAACCGTTTTGTGTTATTCTATATGGCTCATTTACTTTCAAAACAAGGACGGGAATTTGTTTGTACTTCATTATGTGTTTCCCCCTCTCCTCCCTCAATCTTTGTTTGATAATGTTCTTCACATGGAAGAAAGTATTTTTTTCTGCTTCTCTTTCCCCAGTTCTATATGCTTCATAGGCTCAGAGGGGTGTTCTGAGTTAATGCTGCTCTACTGAAATAAAAGCAGCAGGTGGTGCTGTAAAGTTCCTAGTCAAACTTGTTATTCAAACATCAGGGAAAAAAGAGTGTGTGTAGTTGTTTAGAACAGTAAGCAGAGTGTTTCAGCAAGCTTTTCAAGGCTTCCTGAAAAAAAAAAAAAAAGTCACCTGGGAATCCAACAGGGTCAAAGTACACAAATTACAGTCCTTGTATAAGCTATAAGATTGGTCATTTGAGTAACAGCAAATGTTGAGAGACGTTTCCTACTATAACAAAGATAATATTGCTTGGCAGAGCAGTAAGTTGCCCAGATGATTCCAGGTATGCTTTAGACAAAAAGCTGGTTATTAAAGAAAGTAAACTGGGAGACGGAACTGACTTTTCGATATAGTTTAAATGTGTTCTGTATTTAGGCAGCACAGATAGCAGTTTCAGGTAAATGTTCTCAGCTCTTCAGTTTTTCTGCATTTGACTGTAGAAGAGTCGAGCTATCTCTTCCCTGCAGCAGTTCAGGTAGGTGATCTGTATGTGTCCACCCTGCTGAGAGAGCGTGTGTTCTCAAGGCTGAATTAAGGAGTACTTTGAAAGCAATAAAATGATACTGTTCAAATTCCTCGATGTTATCGGGCATGAAGACGCACGTTGTTGCTGCTGCCTGAATTCACTTAACAACCGCCTTTCCAAGTGGGTAAGATGCGACATCTCAGATTTCCTTTATACACCCAAAAACTATAGCACAAACGTACGTCTTGCTGGCCTGCACACCCCAGCAGTGCAGATAACTCTGCTTTTGTTATGTTCCGCATCCAGAGCTGTGCTGGGATTCCTCTTCAGCCAAAAAAGGCCAAGAGGAGAAGAAAAGCATTGTCTACTTGATCTTCCTCTGAAATGGAGGCAGTACCAGCAAATGTCAGTTGATGTTCAAGCATAAAGGGGAACCTGAGCATCTCAGAAAATGTTTCCACATGACCTTTCTCCAACTAATTGTTTGGCAGTGGTTTTCTGTATTCATCCATTTGTTTGTTCATCTATGGATTGAAAGTCCTCATTTGTTATCATTCTAGTGTCAGCTAGTGCTGGGAACATTTATCTGTATAATAGATAATTTCAGTTAAATATTACTTCTACTGTCATATAAGTACTCTGGAATAACTGTTTCCGAAGCAGGTTCAGAAATGGAGCTGACCTGTAAGACAGTCGTCTTCTTTCTGTTAGTCGCTCCCAGCCTTGGGATAGATGGAGAATTAGCTCAGAATTTTATCGCCATTGCGGGACCTCTACCCAGCGAGTTAGTAAATAGATTGCATCTGCAGGACCAAGTCCTGCCCAAGGAAGATCAAGGCCCTGCTGTGGCTGAAGCCCATGATTACCTGTGCCAACAAGATCTTGTGTCTTCAGAGCTGCCCCAGTATTTCTCCCACCTTCATGAGATCGGGGTGACGCATTACAAAATCTTCCTGCCATGGGCGCACATTCTTCCGAAGGGGGATGCCAGGAAGCCAGATGAAGCTCAAGTGCAGTGCTACCAGGAGCTGCTCGAGACCCTGGTTGCTGCAGACCTCAGGCCAGTGGTAGTTCTGCATCACCAGCATGTCCCTAGCACCGTGGCTGCACAGGCCATGGGAAGGAAAGCCAACGCTTTTGCTGACCTTTTTGTGGAATATGCAGAGTTCAGCTTCCGTGTTTTTGGAGACCTTGTCGATGTGTGGCTCACCTTCAGCAACCTGCCAGAGGTCCTTAAAAGCCTACCTTATGATGACCCCCAGTACCAAGTCCAGGCCCTAGCTGCCGCTCATGAAAGAGCTTACACCATCTACCACGAGAAATACTCACCGGCGGGTAAGAATGGGGAGAGATATTTTTTAATATGACTTTTTCACAAATATTTTACGATGGGATTAAATGGCAACTGCTACATGCAATCTCTGTGTGAATATGCTATCAGTGCTCTCAGAATTACATAGAAATCCTTGAGTAACAGGTTCCTTCAAATCCCTTATTTTGATAATTGTTTTATAATTTACTGGTAATCGTGTTTTACTTCAAATGATAGTCAAAATAGTTGGGGATAATATATGTGTGTGTGTGTGCATATTTATATTTAGTCTTTTAAGCATCAAAGAAGTATTAAATAGGGTAATTTGAGCCTCAGAAACTAGTACTTCAAAATCAATTCTAATACTTGTATTTTCTAAGGGCTGTTGTCCCTGTGCTCTTAGTTTAGAACCAGCAGATGTCCCCGATGAACTATAGTCCCATACTGTTCATATACCAAACCTTAAATGTATTGTATAATAGAAGTGGGAATAAGGCTTAGGAAGAATCTTTGATTCCTGCCCAGTCATCTCATTTTCAAAGTCTTATTCCTTATTTCAGTGTAATTGAAAACTGAGATTGCAATTGCTACCATTTCAGTTAAGAGAGGAAGATTATGCCATCAGTCAGTAGCTGTGCTATAATCTCTTATTTGTGACGGGTGCAGACTTTTTCGTGAAGGCATGATGGAATACAGGGAATACAGCTTTGGAGGTCCAGATCTAGCTGAAGAGTCAGGTCAAATTCAACTATCAGCCTTCCACCCAAGAGGTGGAAAGCTTTGCAAATGTATTTTAAAAATCCGCTTAAACAAAACTGATCATGGTTTAAAATGACATTTCTCATTTAATCAAAGTGAAATGATTTATTTATCTTTAAAAATTTAAATAAACTAACATGAAACAAAATATTTACTTTTTAGCAGAAATGAAAATTAATTATCTTTATCAGTTACAAATTATTTTAAAATTACTCAAATCCAGTCTTATTCTGATTTTTCTGTATACAACGACAAAGTCATAATAATCAAGCTATTTTGTAGATAATAATATATTTTTGTGTACCTCTTCCTGACCCACAAAGGAAAGACTAAAAAATTCCTGAAATGTACCTCAAACCGTTAAGAGACAAGGCATAAGAAGTCTCCTGAGAGATAATAATAGTGTGAGGAAGTCTGCAATGTCCTTTGTTTGACTTTCCTCATTGCAGACACTGGGATTTTTAAGTAATTAAATCTTAACTCTACCTGTGTTACACAGCAAGATAATTTCACCTCTTCTATGATGGATACCCAGGGTTTTCTAAGCAGCTGTCCTCTTAGATCTGCCTTCTTTGGGCTTGGAATTTATCAGTCCCAGGCAGACAACCAGTAGAGCTGGCTGAGCCCTGTTTTTTTTCAAATTTTTAATTATTTTATTTATTTTTAAATCCTGCATTTGTCAGAAATACTTTGCCGTACAGTTCACACTTTAGAAGTTGCCCAGCTTCCCTCCCACATAACCTGTCCTCCCAAATTCCCGGTGTCCCAGCATCTCAGCAGCATCCAGCACAGAATGGATTGAAAAAAATAATCACTGTAGAACCACCACAAGGCAAGAAAATTAAAGATACTACTTATAATTATGCATGGAGTGGAAGGACACCCACTGGATAGCTGTATTCAGATCCACCTGCGTGCAAGGAACAATGCTATAATGGTTATGACCTGTCATGGTAACACAAGATTTATTGACAAAGACTCCTTGAACTCTGCCTTTGAATTTCTACCTTCTACAACTCTCCGTTGAAATCATAGGGGGTATTCTGAAATCAGCTACCTAGAGCACTGTCTGATGATCCACATCTTCAAAAATTTAAAAA